TTTCAAATACCAGCGGTCTGTCGAACTCCTTGAATTTGTGAAAATACCGCTCATCATTGGCCATGTGACGACTTGCTCCCGAGTCCAATATCCATTCAATGTCCAATTTCGACTTGTAGATCGCTTCCTGGGAAATCATCAACGCCACTTCTCTGTCTACGGGAACAGTTGCTACTTGAGCTCGATCATACCGCTTTTAGAACTTTGGACATGCAACCTTCTTGTGCCCTAGTTCACCACACACAAAGCATTTTCCTTGAAACTTGGACTTTTCCTTGCTTCTTTCCGACTTCGCTGCAAACGCTGATCCTGATCCATCCGAGACACCATTGGCACATGAAGTGTCTCCTCTTCACATTCGTTTCTGCTCTTCGGCCAGCAAACGCGCCTTCACCGTGTCCAACTTCAACTGATCATCTCCCAGGTTCTCCATAGCCGTGGTGACAACATCGTACGTCCATGGCAGAGAAATGAACAGTTGACTTACGGCATCTAACTCCGTGATAGTAGCACCAGCTCCCTTCAACTGGCGGACTAACTCGTCAAATTTTCGGAAGTGGTCATTTAACGGTGTTCCTTCTTCCATCTTCAGCGTTGCTAAGGACCTTCGAATGTATATTTGCGCTGCAAAACCCTTCTTCGCAAACGTACTTGCCAGGGAGTTCCACATTTCCTTTGCAGTGTTCTTGTCACGCACGTACTCCAGATGAGAATCCGCGATGTACGCAACTAGAAGAGCCTTCGCCTTTTCGTCCTTTTCTTGAAAAGCTTTCTTCTGCGCTTCGTCAGCTGGTACCGTGCCGATTCAAATTTCGGACACTTAAACTCGAATTTCGGACACTTTTAAAAGTTGATTATCTCGGTCGAATATGATCCACATGTCTTGTAAATTTTAAATTTTTTTGACTAGTGCCCTCCACGATCATCTAACATTATTACTTTGTTTCTAACTGGATGTAATATTTAATTAAAAATGAAAGTGTCCGAAATTTGAATCGTCTGAAATTTGAATCGGAACGGTACATCCTTCGTGATCATTTCCTTCACGCCGTGAGCCGACAACTGCGTTTTGACCCGGAACCTCCACACGTCGTATCCTTCACCAGCAAACTGGACTATTCCTACTTTCGCCGCGCTTGACATCTTCACTCCCGTCTTCTCCGTAATTCCGTAACGAACTTCTGGATTCTTCAAATCAATTAGCTTCAACTTCAGAGGCTGGACGTAACTGGGCCCATAACCTCTAGAGAAAGACGTGTGTTCAGTAGGAAGTCTGGTTTAATACTACATAAAGTTTTCAGTTATTGATAACGGGTAAACAAGTTCTTAACTACAGAAATCAACTGCTCCTTCGATCCAACTCTTCATGGTTCCTATCACAGGTGGAGGTAGATGACGAAAAGTAGCATCGATAACGGGTCTCCCTATCGCACTGACCGTTCGATGGGAAAATGCTGCGAAAGATGTCCATTTACAAGTAGTCGAGATAAGGATTGTTCGGCAATTCGTGCCAGTAAGCTGACGAAAGCTGGGTTTATTTCCAGCTGCTGCCGCATGGTTCCGCGGAGGAAGGCTGTGCAATACGATCTTTCAGAGAAACAGTGACTTCGAAGATTGAGTGCCCTTCGTTTGAACACTTTTGTGCATCACTCAACACGCGTTGAGTCTTCATCACGACCTCGAGACGTGCTTTCAAGATTCTGTCGAGAATTTTGAAGTTCGCATTCAGAAGGCTAATCGGGGGGGGGGGGGGGGGGTATCCTCGAGCAGTATTTGTCGTTCCTCTCTTTCGTACCACCACGAATTCAATTGCGTCGAATGCACGTTGGTAGAATTTGACGGGTAACCCATCGCTTCCCACAGCCTTCCTTTTAGCTGATGTGCGAATAGATGACAAAATCTCTGATGTTGTTATCTCAGCGTACCACTCTCTCGCATTGGAACTGTGCTTCCTCATTTTCCTTTGTCCCCAGTATATAGCTCCCGTAAGTATCGGAGCAGATGGGTTTCGATTGCTTCGGAAGTGTTTAAAACTTCGTTATTTTCGCCACGCAGCTCTCCTTCGTCTTTCTCCCAGCTGGAAGGTACTTATGCTTACACCTGCAATAAACGTGTCGTTGATACGCATAAAGTTCTGCGAGAAAGAGCGCTGGTGAGCAAGTATTTGTGCTTTCACGCGATTGATGGTGACTATCATCGCTGGATTAAGGAAATATCCATCATACGCTTGCTGAAGCTGTACATACAGCCGTTGGTGTTGTGCATGAAATTCACTCTATGTCTCGCGATATGTCCATCGAAAAAAGGACTGGATTTTCGGCTTAGTGTAGGATAACCACCACGTGATGCAGTTTGGAAAATTTCATCTTTGTCGGGTCACATATTGCCAACTGATCTGGAATTCGTCAACGTTCTCTGCTGTCAGAAGATGAGGACGCAATGGCCAATAACCATGACCAGCCGAGGCTAGGGAGGCATATTCGCGAAGTAAGCACTTTGTGGTTAGTGAAAGAGCATACATGTGTGGCTGCATTTCGTAGCTGGCATGGCTGACGTTCATGCGATCAAGTATGGAGACGGAGTTGTGCGTGATATATGTGGGCAAGGGGGTCGTGGGATACAATTTTACCCAGACGTTGCTGAGTTGCAGTTGCTGTATGGTGGACTGAAGAGCAGGGCTGTTATTGTAACCCGACGCATCACATGGTCGCAGCACACAATTGAAGTCGCCAGCGAGCAGTATATTTTCGGTGTTGTGCCGCAGATAAAAACTATCGTTTTCGACCCGGAGAGCAACAAGTCGTCCGTCCAAGCTCTTCTCTATATGGGATATACTCCTTTGATGACGTTTGTGACAAGATTGTAGCCAGGAATGGAGAGCTGCACGTTCTCCATTTCCTGTAGAAAAACGATATCGAGATCCATCGTTGTACAAAATGATCGGAGGGCGTTGAGTTTCGTTTCGTTGGTAATCGTGTTAATATTTATAGTGGCAACGTTGTAGCTGGTGAACTGATACATTTTAATAGTTCTGCTCCCGCTCGTCGTCGCTGCCGTCTCGCCGCTTTCTTGTTTGGCGGCGTCCTCTCGGTCGTGTGCTGTTGGTTGACATTGCCGATTCGTCTGTCTCGTTGCCATCGGATTTGCTACTAGCAGGTTTGTGAACCGCTTCGCCACTAGCAGGAGGTTGTTGACCAGGAGTACTGGACAACGACCTGCTATCCTGCTGTATGATAGGGGCAGTGATCGGTGGAAAATGTAATTCAGATTGTGTTTCGATCGGATTTGTTGCAGGTACCGGCATCAGCTGCTGCTGTTGCTTCTTTGGCGGCGTACATCTCAATGCCGACGTTTGGTTAATCGGCAACGCTGATTTTGGGACTTGAAGTTTTTGCCTGCATTGCTGCTGGCTGTTTCGTCGCATCTGCATGCGATTTCTGAACAAGCAACTTTTTGTTCTGCACACAGGACGCACCGATGTGAATAAACTCTCGGCAGTGTCGGCAGGTTTGACGTTGGCCAAAGTAGGACAGAAACGTCGATTCTCCATCGATGAAGACCCACGACTCGATGTTGTGTTTTACGATAATTTTTGCAATCCGAACACCAGTGAAAATACTCGGCAAGGTAAATTCTTGTTCTAAAGTCTCAGCATAGATAGCTCCATTTACTCGCAAAACATTGTTAGCAATGAGGGGAACAGGTATAGATTAAGAATTTGAAGCAGTTGTGATGTTTGTACCTACGGGTACGAATGTAGAATTTGTTCCTCGCTGACCGTTGTTAACAGCAGAGGAATTTGTACCTGACCAGGAACGAAGTGTTTCCTACCTGCCGCTTTCACCACAATTTGAACGTTTATTTATTTTTTGATCTTCCTTCACAGGACAGTCGTTCTTAGCGTGGAAGGAATCACCACAATTCATGCATTTAGCTGGCATGTAGCAATTTTTGGTTCCGTGACCCCGTCCCTAGAAAATTTCTTCCCGTCTGAGTGAAGTGTTCTCACTTCACTCGAACATGGAGCGTAAGGCTAGCTGTTTCTAAGGCCTTAAGGTTGTTTAGCTCACTAGTAGTGAAGTGAACTAAATAAAAATCATTGGAAATCCCGCTGCGTGAATTGCCATGACGGGATTTCATTTTCATTTTAATTACATGGACAGGCTCAACTCCAAGAAATCTTTGATCTGATCCAGGAATTCACCGCTGGGCAGACATTTCAAGACAACCTCGAACAGACGTTCAGTTTTGGTGTCATAAGTGAAAAATGTATGTTGCTATTCAGTAAGAGAAGACGTTTGAATCCTTCCAAGGTTTCAGGCAATACACGGCATTCACCCCGATGGCCAATTTGAAGTGAAAACTTAAATTGAACGAAATTAAAAGTTCCTTTCGAAGAGCATAGAAATCGGAAGTGGTTACAACAATAGGGGGAACCTTTTCTATTTTTGCATTAAGCTGGCAATGTTTAATGGAATTTTACCTGGATGACGGATCTTTCTCATCATCCGTAAGCATATCAAATTGATTGCTCAATTGAATTTCATCAAAGGGGGATCAAGCGATTGCCCTTTTCTTTTGCGCTTTTGTTTTCGCTTTTGCGCCAAGTTTCTCCACATCGACTTCCAAGCAGAATACTATAAGAATCCGAAGGATCAAAGACGAATTTTCCAAATCGATGGCCAAGCAGGATTACCTCGGGTAGGGTCCAAACAAAGATCGAAGGGTACAGAGTCAGACAAGGTAGACATTTTACAAGTTGAGCATTGAAAAGTGCTGTTTAAATTTGATAAAGCAAATAGATCCGCACGGTAAGAGAGCACGATGCGGACTGATTCTAGTTTTTTATGTTCTGCAGATTTCATACGCACATTTCCGAAATGAGTCATTTCGGCACACGAAATGAGTTGATGACATTTTCACAAAACAAATGTTATTGAATTCATTAGGTGTGCTCGTAACACATCTTTAATCACAATCTCATGACCTTCTCTCCACAGCTATACCCAGTCCACGAAAATATACCCATCTATCCCAGTTCGTACGACCTTTCGACAGCGCAGGAATGTTGGAACTTGAGCAATCGTCATTCCAGTGCTCATAACAACAACAGCTGCAGTAGCAACACAAGCAACAATCACCTGGCAGCAGGGCTGTCAAGTTCCGATATGGCAACAGCTAACCATTTATCCCATCCTTACCATCAGGGCCATCAGTCGCACGGGATGAGCTTGTAAGTTTTGAATGTTTGATCGTGGTGAATTTAGTTCATATATGTGCTTATTTTTTTTTGCAGCCAATTTGCTCAGCATAGTGAGAATCGGAACGAGATAGATGACCAGCTGGATGACAAATCGAAAATTCGTTTGGACTACGGAGTAAGTGCGGAAGAGAGCTATGCATGCTTAGGTCCCAGTGGTAGCGGTGCATTGAATGATGAGGCCAGCAGAAAGCTGGTTAAGATCCGTACTTATCGTTGTACCGAATGTCCCAAGTCCTTTGGCACATTGAAGCAACGTCGTGCGCATATTTTATCCGAACATGAGACGGACAGTAAGGTGAACGTGATGGGCGCGGCTTCGGCGACGGTGACATCCGGTGCATCATCAACGGTAACATCTGCATCGGCATTGGGATTCTTTTCGAGTCCAGCGGCATCGGCAGGGGAGGGATGTAGCACTTCTTTGTTGAATAAAAAGATTAAAATCGAACCACAACCTATGCTTATGTGCTACAGTTCACTGAAACAGGAATTGGAGCAGAAGCTAGAAGGTGGAGAAGTGGCTGGACCATCTAATGCTATTGTAGCGGGTAGTGGTGGGGAGGTACGTCGGAAACGTACATATGTTTGCTGTACGTGCAAGCAAGAATTTGATAGGTTCAAACTGTTCAATGCCCATCTTATGACACATCCGGCCGAGTGTTATGCCTGTGGGAGAAGCTTTAAACATTGGCCGAACTTTGCACTGCACATCAAGAGACACTTGGGAATCAAAGATCATCAGTGTCGGCTTTGTGGGAAGAAATTTGTCATCAAGCAGAAGCTCATAGAGCACATGAGAGTTCACACCGGGAAGGCCCCGATCAAGTGTCCCGACTGTGATCAGCACTTCCGGCGATTCTCAAATTTGGCTCAACACAGAAATCGGCATCACTTGAACAAGGTTCCTTGCAAGAAAGATTTTGTCTGTGATTGCGGAGAGGTTTTCCAATCGAAAGCTAAAATGGAGTGGCATAGGGAAATTCACGAGAACAAGCCAAAAAGTTGCCCCTTCTGCCGGGAGAAGTTCATTCACAAGAACAGTCTGACCAGACACATCCGCCTGTCCCATACGGAAAAGTATGTGAAACTTGAAACGGCCACAGAAATGTGCACAATTTGCAATCAACCGTACATTAAGACAAGCATGAAACGTCACATGGAAACGCACACCGATGAGCGGATGGCTTTCTCCTGTACGATATGCAATAAAGTTTTCAGCACCAACTGGAACCTGAAGCAGCACAGATGGACACACGCCAATCCGACGTTGAAACCGTTCCAGTGTAATATGTGCTCGAGTGGATTTGTCCGCGAGGCAGACTACATCACTCACATGAATGCTCACAAATCCATACGACCGTACACGTGCAACCACTGCGGTTGTCAGTTTATCCGCAAATACAACTGGATTCGACATACCCGCGAGCATGAAACGGATAAGAACTACACCTGCGAAAGTTGTGGCCGGAAGTTCCACCGGAAGTACTATCTAACCGAACACAAACGGATACACACCGGTGAACGGCCGTTCTCGTGTAACATTTGTGGCAAAACTTCCTCGACCAAGACGAACCACAACAAGCACATCAAAATCCATCACGCACGGGATCCGTTGACAGCGGAGGGTTAATCTTTCAGGTGTCAGTTCCTGGGGTAGCGTTCGAGTTCGAGTTCGAATCGAATCATTTATGTGAAATGCCGTACTACTACACATTTATTGTTGACGGAGTTTGACTACAGTATATTCGTATAATTTCGCATAATTCGACTGTCTAATTAATATCGTGTTGCGACAAGTTTTGTTTTTGCATTTTTAAATGGTTGCACATCGGAAATAGTGTCGGAAGCGGCAGCAACATCAGAATTTAATTTGGTACAATGAAAGTTTTTCTTTCTACTAGTAGACTTCTATTGTGAAATCAAAAATAGACAAAATAGTGTATAACATTATTTATTTTAGTATAAAATTCGTTTTACTACATAATTACGATACCCGATCTATGAAGCAAGCCTGATTATAAGAAACAACATACAAAGAACTGATTGCTAAACCAGAAGCCATGGAAAGGTGGCTTCTGACTCCACACACAATATCGATCTTTTTTATATGGCGGTAAAACGTAAGCCTCCGTTTTAGGGTGTTTGATTTCGTATAGACATTCGATTTTCCAACGGCTCACAACCTGCTGCATATTTGGTTCGGTATGCTGATGTCGGCTTGTGCAATAATTTTAAAACATTTATGTGAAACTTTTTTTTTTTTTAGTAAGAAACATAATCCTGCAAACCATCTAAAAAAAAGTCAACGTTAGAAAATTTCTAAATTCGAATCAATAAAAGTTCCATAGTGTTCTATAAATCTTATGTACAAAACTGAGTATTTTTCAAAAGAAATTGCCAAAATTGAATCAGGTCAATAATATTTTTTTTTATGAAAACTTCAAAAACGTGAAATGAAAAAAAAAGTGGAATTTTGCCACCAATGGAAAGTTGTTTACAAAAATAATACAAAAAGCTTTGGTCTAGTGACAACTGTGACATGAACACTATACTCTAATAAATGTTCATTGGGCCGTTTGAATAACGAGAGTAAAGTAAAGCCCTGTGCTTTCCTTATAGGGAAAGTAAACTAAACTCTTTTATTCATACGACCCATTGTTTCGTAAAAATAGTACTTACCGTAAACTGGAGTTGGGGGGGAAGATTTGATAATTTTTCACTAATGCCGTTCTCATTTTTGTGGTGTAGTTACACCGAAACGGCACCACCGTGCGTGTTTCCAACCAGGGACATTACGAGAAATTTACCAAAATTCACGTTTTCCGATTACCGGGAATCTGTTCCAATTTCCCGGGAAACATTTTTGAGGGATTTTGGGTGAAAGTTACAATAAATTTCCAACAGGATTCAAAAGAATCTTCTAAGCAAAATGTTTGCAAGGAATTCCAGAGGAATCTGAAGATCTTCTAAGGCAAATAGGAAGAATGATTCAGGAGTTGTCGGAAGAATTTTCTGAGGGCAACCAAAAGAAATTTCCGAGGGAGGCCAGGAAAAACTTCCGGGGAAATCATCAAAAGACTTATCAATGAAGTCGGACGATACTTAGCAATTAGCAGATTTCCCTAGATCTCATCAGACCCTTATCAAGATATCTGCATCGTTTATGAAATAGTGCAACACAGTCACACAACAAATGTTCAGAGCTTTCACTCTTTAAGTTACAAAAGCGACATTTAGCTTATTGCGTGTTCTAAATGCACTACCTCAGTTATTAATTGAGAGAATTCGATGTCAATACCAATGCATGCATTTGTATATTGTGTGGCAAGCACAATGATACTCTATGCCCAGGGAAGTCGAGAAAATTTCCAACCCGAAAGATTCCCTCGACTGGACCAGGATGCCAAAATTGATCCTGAAATTGATACACTAACCGTGCGTGAGTGGCGGTTAGTTTTAGCTGGTATAACGGTTTGTGGAGAAGGTTCCGATGCACAGGTGCTTCCTTCTCACGGTGCCGGTCGACGACTGCCCTCTGTCGAACAGGTAAGGGAAATTCTCCTTTATTTGTCCTTTACGTTTAGGCCAAGGCAACTAAATCGCCACCTAGACCGTAGTGTGCAATGGCAGTCCAGATAGACCAGATAGCGATTAGATTTGTAGAAATGGTCTTTGATTCTTGTTTTCCGTGCTGAGCACCAATGCTACCGACGCCAGGGAGGCAGCTCTCACACCTGGACCCATCCTATCGACCCATCAACACATGAACCGAAGACCAACGGTTATGCCTCAGAACATCCCGGCGGCGCCGACTGGGACTGAACCCAGGCCTGCTGGGGTGAGAGGTAATCACGCTTACCACTACACCACCGGCGTCGCTGACTTGATATTCTTGTTATAAGTATACCTACAGACACCTCAATCTACAAGCTTGCCTGAGATAAAGTGAACGATGACCGTTCCTTAAGCATCGCAGGACCCTTTAGCTCATCACCAGTGACTCCGTGTCACCATTTTGCCGTGGCCATGCACGCCTTATTCAGCAATCGCCATTAAGCATGGCCGTATCGTCTGCTCAGTGGGTTTCACCGCAAGTGTTTTACAAATTTATTTGAATGCTGGATAACATGGTGCATATTTAAAATATTGTATTGGATCTTTGTAACAGAATAGTTACACCTATTCGATCCTTGTTTGGACCCAACCCGAGGTAATCTTGCTTGAATGTCAATTTGGAAAATTCCTCATCGATCCTCCAGAATGTTATAGTAATCTGCTTGGAAGTCGATTTGGAGAAACTTTCTTCTTCAGGAAATCTCTTGAACCCCCTTCTTTTGAAATTTATGCCTGCAATCAATTTGATATGCTCACGGATTTTGAGAATGATCCATTATCCAGGAAAAATCCAGTGCTTAATGCCAAGAAGGAAAAGGTCTCCCTATTTTAATAACCATTTCCGATTCCTTTCCTCTTCACACGGAACTTTTGAACTTGAAGTGAATGCCGTGTATTGGCTGAAAACTTTGAACGGATTCACGCGTCTTCTCAAGCATCTTACTGAGAAACAACACCAATTTTTCACTTATGACACCAAAACTGAACGCCTGTTCAGGTTGTCTCGACAGATCTGCTCAGTAGTGAATCCCGGGATCAACCCTAGAATCAGAAAAACGATTTGCATAAACCTTCGCATAATTGTGTGTCATGGGCAATCATTGATATTTTTTACAAAAAAAAAATCGACCAATTTGCGTTTGTTGGTGCTACTGTACCGGTGTAGCTAAACCGTGTCGGCGCCGATGGTGTAGTGGTAAACGTGACTGCTTCTCACCCCAGTGTGTCTGGGTTCAATATCAGCCGAGGCATAAAAATCTCTGCTCGTTTTCTTTCGGAAGGGGAAATAAAGCCGGGACCCATGTGGTTGATTGATGGGTACTATATCCTCACAGGTGTGGAAGCATGCCCTCCCTTGGCTATTCGCTTGCGGAACAGAGACCGACGTTAAATAAATGAATTAAGAAGAAGGATAAGTAGCTACACCACAAAACCAACACCAATGTCTGAATATTTTCCTTCAATCTGTTTGACAGTCAAAAAACTACCTCTCAAGGTCCACGCACATTAGATCCGGATCGGACGCGTTGCGGCAAAGTGACAGCTAAATCTATTGTCTAACTGTCAAATTTACGTCAACGCAACGCAAACGGATCTAATGTGGGTGGCCGATAGGCAGCTGCCTCCCTGGCGTCGGTAGCATGGGTACTCAGTACGGAAAACAAATCTAGAAAAAAGGTGAAAGGTGCTACCAACTACTGCTCCGAATTTCTGTGAAGACATTTTTCCTGCAAACATTTTAAAGACTTTTCATGTTTTGTGAAGATGTTTGCAAACATATTGAAATTGAAAAAGAACTTATATAAATAATTTAATAGAAATCTTGGGAGATTATCTGTGAGACGACATTTGAAGATCTTCAGAATAATACTTGATCAATCATAAGTCTAGAAGGATATCCTTAGGACTTAATTGCAAACTTCGATCAGCTGGAGATCCTTTTAATACTTCTTAAATAACCTGCCGTCTTGAGAAAATATCTAAGCGCCGTCACTTTTTTTTTAAGTTGGAGAGCTTCGGAATAATAGCCAGTAATCTTCGATTAACTGGCGATCTTTCGAATACTTCCCAGTCAATCTGCCATCTAAGTAGAATATCTGTGTACGTCATCAACCTGAAATTTTGGGGGGAAAAATCGATAGAAATATCAAGAGGACATTATTGCAGTCTTCGATCAGCTGGAGTTTTTTAAATACCTTTTGACCAACTTGCCATTTCGGAGAATATCTAAGAGACGCCTTCTGAATTTTTGAACAGTCGAAGACCTACAGATCTTCACCTTGGAAAAAATTACCAGAAACAAAAAATTCACATGATAATATATGATAGGGTAAATGAGCCAGTTATGGCACTAGTGCTCCAGTTATTGGCCCTAGGGTCTAACTCAAATTCGAAACAAATTATCATGGCTTTATTCGCGTAGACATATGACAAAATCTGTGGAAATAAATTTGGTAAAAATGTTACAAATTGAAAATTAAGATAGGGCCAATTAGGGAACCTTTTGGGAACAAACCGGGCTCACTTACCCTAAATGTAATTTATTTATCTATTTTTTAACAGTTCAGAATAATACATAAAAAAATATACAGAGGACTGGAGGAGCTGGAGATCTTTTTAACTCTCCCTGTTCAACCTGCCTTGAAAAAATATCTGAGAGATGTCATTAAGTCTTCAATCCAGCGGACTTCATTGATATCTTCTCGCAAATCCGTTATATCAGCAATGTTCTTTAAAATTCCACAAAGTTTCTTGAACTAAAACTCAGTACCATGAACTCAAACGAAGTTCCCTGAACTTCTTGACATCAATTGTGCTTATCCAAAGTTCAATGCGCCTCTATGAAGTTCCTTAAACTTGTGGGGAGTTCCGCCAACTTGTAGAAAGTGCTGTCAACTTCAACAATTTTTCCATAGCTTATTCAAACTTTTCTAAACATCTAGGAAGTTCGCTGAATTTCTACCGAATTTGCTGAACTTGTACGAATTTTTGTACCAAATTTGCTCAACTTCTTCGAATTTCCCTGAAATTGCAAGGTTTATATGTTTTAATTCTACCAAGATCTCAGAACATCTATGAACTTCTCCGACATTCTGGTACGTCGTTGAACCTTTTCTACGAATATTTCTGAACATCTCGGTAGCTTCCTGAAATTAAACGAAGTTCCCAAACTTCCAGGCAATCTCAGAAGTTGTACGAACTTCTGAACTCTTAAGAATTTCGCGAAGTTCTCTGAACTTGTATTAACCTCAACAAAGTTAAAATAAAATACCGAACTTTTGTAAAATTTCCTGAAATTAAAAAAAAAAGTTTCTATAACTTTCATGAAGTTCCCCAAACTTGAACAAAGTTACCGCTTCTACGAATTTTCCCAGAACTTTTACAAAGTTCACAGGAGATCTACGAAGTTCCCAGATTTTCCACGGTTTCCTGTATTTCTGAACATCTATGAAGCCCTTGAAGTTTTACGAAGTTATCTAAAGTTAAGTTTCCCGAATTTCTACGGAATGCGCAAATTTTCTACGAAATCCGCTAAAGTTTGATAATGTGGTGAGATGATTAAGCATTCCATGAATTGTTAAATAAACAGTTACTCGGTTGCCACACAATGCATGCGACCGATGGTGTATGGTTGATAATAAATCGTTTTCCATTGAGCGTTTCCTATCTTTAAAGTTGAATAAAACAAAGTGTGTTTGAGATATTGACGAGATTTATTTTTCGACTAAAAGGCCTATCAATACCGTTTTGAATGGAATATGACATCGTTCAAATGGCCACGTCGGCTTCGCTTGGTGGCGTGCATCCGAGAGGTCCAATTTTCCATGACTCTGGCGCACAAATCAGGTTGAATCTCGTTGATGGCTTGAGTAATGTTAACTTTGAGGGCATCGGTGGTTTGCGGCTTATTGGCACATACCTGCGACTTAACATAACCCCACAAGAAAAAGTCTAGCGGGGTTCAAATGACACGATATTGGTGGTCGTCCACTTTATGCTCTCCGTTGACGGTGATGCTAGCGGTGATGGCCTCGCCGAAGAAGTACGGACTGATGATGCCTCCGGCCCAAAATGCACACCAAACAGTAACTTTCTATGGA